GGGGGGGGGGGGGGGGGCGGCTTAAGATGAGGGGGATGAGATGAAGAAGGGATTTTGGACCCCTGACCTTGAAGGGCACACAGCTGGACTTATTGAAAGCCTCAGGAACGCGGCAGACGCCACCCTTCAAATGGCCGCGCTCCGGGTTGTAGAAGGGCTCGATGTGAACATCCGTCAGCTGTGCGAAACGGTAGCTGGTCTCGAGGCCGGAGAAAGACTTTGCCGCGCCACGAACAGCAAGGACAGCCACAAGCTGCCAGATGAACATCGGCATCCCCACTCTGCACCGAACTTCTGCACTTGAACCCTGATCCCCCATTGCCTTAAACCCTATCACCGGTAGCTTTGATTTCTTTCTGCAAGGCAGAAGCCGAGGAGACAAGCTGCGATCCCAGAGAGAAAGTGGGCGGGAGGGTACATGCAGATCGACTGCGGGCGCTTGTAGGGATGTCGTATTTTTTCACATGGCCTAATCATGAAAACCGGGGGTGTTTGGGATACTGTATTCTAGTATACACATACAGGGACTGGTGGGACATATCATTGCTAATTATCTGTGTGCGTTACCGATGATGATCCTTGCAAGGCCTGCCCAGCGAAAGACTCTGTCAAACAAGTGCTGCTATCTTACTTTGGGGCTGATCAACCGTAAACCCTAAACCCCTAAACCCTTAAACCCTAAACCCTAAACCCTAAATTAACCTAAAACCCTAAACCCTAAACCCTAAACCCTAAACCCCTAAACCCTAAAACCCTGAACCCTAAAACCCTAAACCCAAAGCCCGAAGCCCTAAACTAGGAGAGCCTTGAAGCTTGGCTTGGGTTCCCATCACGACTGTGTTCTGGGTCCCATGTTGACTCACACTTCTCATCTGCAGGCCTCAATGTTGCAGCCATTAAGGCCCCTGATGTAGGGTTTAGGGTTCAGGGTTCAGGGTTTAGGGTTTAGGGATTACCAATACTATTTTGAAAGGGGGCTGGGGTGCTTATGTCGCGGCTAGGCAACCGTTGCCCTGTTTTGGGCCTCGAGAACCCACATACACGGAAGCCACTCGGGGTTTGCTGGAACAAGAGTTGACTAGGCCGTTTGCAGTCTTTGTACAGGCCCCAACCGCAAATTTTGGATTGGGTCAATGGGCACAGAGGGCAGGAGAACGGGAACGGCTGACTTTTGGCTGCTGCGACCGCACTTGGTTTCATCTTCTAATTCGGCATGATTTTTGGGACGCGCCCGAATAGGGCCTTACTGTCCAAGCAGGAACAGGAACAGGAATGCTTTGTTTTTTTTTGTTGGGGGGGGGGGTTGTTCCTTATCATAACTAAAGTATAATGGACCCCAAAACCCTGCTCTAATTCTCAATGCCCCTACTTGGAGGATCATGGGACTTAGTAAGTAAGGTCATAAGTCCCTTAATTGGGGTTTTAAGTATAGTTACCCTAATTATAACCCTAGATACTAAGCCCCATGATCCTTTAAGTACGCTCTTTGACGGATCTGTCAGACGCTATGACGGAAGGAGCCCAAAGCCAGGCTCCCCACGGCCGTGGAGATCAGCAGATGCTGACCGCAGGTCTGGATGCTTCCGAGTGCCTGCAAAGGGGTTTAGGGTTTAGGG